TTGTGCATGAACTTTTTGGCTTGGAGGTTCTTTATAATGAAGTTTGGCTTTTATATGTGTTGCCTTTGTGTTGCTATCTAAGTCATACGTTTGCATAACATATGGAAGAAATCAGAAGTGTTTACACTGATGTCAAAGGAGAACAAATCAAATACCTTTCACACTGCGTTTCACACTTCACTGCAAATAACATCAACTTTTACATACTCCTCCCTGAAACTTGAGCTCTTAAATGCAAATTTGTCAAGCACTAAATGTAATTTTGTGTTTTGACAAACATTAAATGTATTTTCCAAGTTTCTGTTCAATCAGGAAAAATGTTTAACTCTCCTTTACTTTACTTTAAAAGACTACATACAGTATATAATTTTTCATGGCTCTTTAGAAACCAATGGCAAGATCTACATTTGTATTTTTCTGTATTTTGTTATCGATCTTATTGTGAATGTTTCGTCTGTACAGGTTTAATTTTTTATATGTTCAAGAATGTTTTGACCTTGTAATTCTTAGTCTTCCGGTGAAATGACAGACGACTTTCTGGTGATGTATGCCAGCCTTCTCCAGTCATTTAAGCAACTTGAACCTGCACCTTTCTTGAAATCGACTGCATGCTTGCATATGGATCTGCCTCCATCCACAATTTTTTCATTTTTGATAAGTTTTATTCAGATGTATGTAACAAGATGGAAGAAATTATCTGCCGCTATATCAATTTCATTGCAATTTTAACGTTCTAGTCAAAAATACCAGTAAAAAAATATGACAGCTGATTTTTACATGTCAAAATTCTAAAATGTTAATTCAGGCTCTGCTTTCCTGGTTTGTCAACGCTAATATTTTTTGTTAATAAAGAAAACTCTCTCCAGTTGTTCCTGGGAAGATTCTTCCCACCACACATCTGTAGTCAGAAGCAGGTTTTCCCAGCCACCGCTGAACGTTCACCCTGACCTCTCGTTTCCAGCGACTGATGGAGAGAGAGGCCGGCGATGTGGCCTGTGATTTTTATGGAGTGATTTAATACTTGGCAGCCATGCTGAAAGCTTGTTAAGGGGGTGCTGGAGCTGCATTCGGGAATTGAGAGGCCTCTCTCACCTGCTGCTTTATTAGATGGATCTGTTTCAGGGGCTGTCCCGTTTGACAAAAGTGTGGCGGTTGTTAAAGTTCCTGCACTGCAGACGACTTGTGGTTTTGAGGGCTTAGAGAGGTGATCAGTCAGGGTATCTCTCACTCACTTTTTCTTTCTCTGCACTCCTGGCTGTGATTCCCTGGAATGCTGATGAGAGGTCTGGAGTAAAACCAGGCGGAACCAATGTAGAAGATGTCAACAATAAAGCTATGTTTAGAATGACCTTGTCTAACTTTGGTGGGATTGTAATGCAAACCAGAATCAGGCTGGTGCAGTGCTCTGAAAACAGTCGTCAATAAGTAATAATTTCCTAAAATGAACAGTGGTGTTGTTGGAGATAAGACCTGGTGTGTATCGCCGACATTTTTTTGTCACTTCTCTGTTTCATAAATAAAAAAAAAAGTCTAACGAATTATACCAAAAAAGACATAATTATATTTTTTCTCCCAAAATGTCACTAATACTGTCACATACTAATTTAATGCATCCTTGCTGAATAAAAGTATTGATTTCTTTTAAAAAATAAAATAAAATCTTATCCCAAGCTTTTGAATGGTTGTGTGTGTGTGTATATACATGTACAGTATATTTATATATTTCCCATGATCTCTGTGTTGCTAGTGCCATACATTTTGAGCTACAGGAATGCTATACCTGGTTTATAGAAATGTTCAGTCTTAGATTCACTTCATTAAGTACTACTATTTTGTATTTAAAGGGGTCATATGACGTTGCTAAAAAAGAACATTATTTTGTGTATTTGGTGTAATGAAATGTGTTTATGCGGTTTAAGGTTCAAAAAACATTATTTTCCACACACTGTACATTATTGTTTCTCCTCTATGCCCCGCCTTTCTGAAATGCGTCGATTTTTACAAAGCTCATCGTTCTGAAAAGCGAGGTGTGCTCTGATTGGCCAGCTATCCAGTGCGTTTTGATTGGCCGAATACCTCAAGCGTGTGACGGAAATGTTACGCCCCTTACCATACCGTGATGCCGTGTCCCGGTGCGACAAGACAAAACCAATAAAACCTATTATAAACGAGGCATTTGTTGCATCCAGTGGGGACATAATTACTGATTATAATTACTTATACTGTCTTTTCGCGCATTGCGTTGCATCGTGCTGCGTAAACACAAAACCATGTCTGCATTTGTGATTGGAGAAATGACAAACAAAAAGCGCTACTTCAGTGGCAAATCCTTTAAATATGAAAACGTACTTACAGGCTGTGAGTCAGAACTATTTGTCAGAACACCGGCATTGTAGGCTATACTCTCCCAGGAAACAGTCCTCGTCCTCCGTAAAATGCATTGCTCACATCTAAATGTTTGGGTTGGACTGTTCTGGAAATGTGTTGTAAATACAACTTGACCACTGATTTCTAGTTGTGTCCTCTTTTGGAAGGCCAAACAAAGTAGTTTCACTTTCATAACGAAACACACAGCGTCTCCACGACATGGTGGCGGCGGCAACAATGCTACAGCGAGAATCAAAGTTATGCCTTTGTGTGAACATTTGGGTGGGGTTATGCAAATCTTCCCACACAGTGACGTAGACATGTGGGGGTGTGTTTAAACGAGGCATTTTTAGAAGGCTTGGGCGAGTCTTAACTTTTATAAAGAATATCTCTTTGGGTTTGAGACTTTAGTCTTTGCAACTTTAGGGATCTTATCTATTCACGAACAGCTTGTAACACTCCAAAGAGAAAGGAAAACTTGAAATCGCATCATATGACCCCTTTAACCTGTTTAACTAGTCTGTCACCAGGCTGACTCTTGGGTTGGGCTTGTTCAGATGTCTTGATATCTCACTGTGCTCTTTGTATTTTCAGTTGACATTTTCCAGTACTGTTTCCAACTGTACAGATATATGTGAGCATGGAAATATAAATAACTGTACTTGTATATTTAGTTGCTTTAAAGGAAGCATTTTTTCTATTTTTCTTTTTATGCATTTCTTATTATTTCTATAACTATGTGAAATGTGACAATCTTTTTAAATGTATTTAGAAGAAGATTTATTTGAAATTTAGCTTTGACAGCAGCAGTTATAAACTGTGTTTAGTGTTTTATTGTCCCACTGAACACAAGAGTGTTTGATTGGGGCATTTAATAACTGCTTATAAAAGTCACTGTCTTCAACACGCCTGTGCGAGACTATTAGTGCTGGCAGCCTTTAGTGCTTAATATCTAATGAATACATGAATAGTGAATGAATAGACAAACAAATCAATACAATATTCAGTGTTGTTTGAAAGGATTTGGAGTATAAGCTGAACCTAAGCTTCTGTAGACACTCAATGATTTCGATGAAAGATTGAAACTTACTGTCATTATTTACAGTCTAGCCAGGAATGTTCTCTTTTTTTTTTTTCCATAGCAACTCTGTTATGTAAGTCACAAGAGCACCTCCTGTACAGTATTAAACCTGTCCTTAGAGAGGGAAATATTCTTACCCTCTCTGTGAGATGCCCAATGCACTGGATGGAATGTCAGAGCTTAAGGAGACATCCTCACTTGTGCTACGTGATTTTAACAGAATCTATCAGGGACTTCCTGTTTTATTTCTTATTTAAAGGGTTAGTTCACCCAAAAATGAAAATTAGCCCATGAATTACTCACCCTCAAGGCATCCTAGGTGTATATGACTTTCTTCTTTCAGACAAATCCAATCGGAGTTATATTAAAAATTGTTCTAATTTTCTTTTCTAAAATTCTTCCAAGCTGTTTAATGGCACTCGGCGGGTGTTGAAGTTCATCAGTCCAAAATCACTTTAATCTAGCTTGTGCCAACAGTTGTACATGGAAGCAGTTCCGGGCTGATGACGTATGAGGTCGGCATTGCGCATGAGGGTGAGTAAATGCCTTGAGGGTGAGTAATTCATGAGCTAATTTTCATTTTTGGATGAACTAACCCTTTAAACAACCTATCACTCTTATACCAAACACTACTGGTGCTGGATGCCAGCACATTTCCCATGTGTTTACCCGCACTCTGTTTTAAATCCTGTTACGTTCTGGAAAAAGGCATACTTCAGTTTTGCGAGATGTATCCAGTATATACTACACACTATGCTGGATACGGTGTCTCGGTGGTTGGGTAGATGTGCGCCCGAATCTGTGATTTTTATTGTTGTTGTCAGGTTTTTCCCCTGTTTACACCTGCTTGTGGTTGCAGCATTCTACAGAATTTCTGCTTCTGTTCAGCAAAAACCTACTGTTGACAGAAGAGATGATGTTTTCTTGCCATGGCTTGTTGTGGGCGCGGGGCCCTCCAAAACTGCTTCAAAGCCATTTGCCTAGCTCAGTAGCTGCTCCTATTGTTGGGTTATATCAAAGGCAGAGTCTGCTTATTTGAACAGGTGACTCCCATTAAGTCCGATGACCCGGCTGGCTGTTTGCCAGCAGTGCTGCCGTGGCTTCGCAGAGCTCGTCTAGTCAAGACGCTAATACCTGATGATCTCAGTGCCAGATCGCAGATTGAATAATTGCTGAGCTATGGCACTCTGCAGGTCTCCTGAGTAATTGTTATGGGAGAAGCTGGGGGCCACTGCTCCCCGAACGTTCATGGAGGTCAGGATTTCATTTGTCCACTTCCTTTGGGCTTGTCCAACCTGGACGGCCTGCTTCACTTTTAATGAAAGCCGTCTACACTACCGCCATCAGTATGCAGTGATGGCACATTATAGGTATTGGGTCTGAACTCATGATTATGGAAGAGATGATTTCTTCACATCTGCTGTAAGATGATATAAAAATGTTCCATACATTTTTCATTATGCGAACTTGGATGTGCAGACTCATTTGCCTATATCATAATGCCTCTCTCTGTTTTTTTAAATTTTTTTTTTTTATTATTATTATTATTTAGCAAGGAACAGAGGGCTTCTGGAAGTCTGTAGCGTACTCTGTGCCCCGGCAACCCTCGGAGATTCGGATCCTCAACCCCTACTTTATACAAGAGGCTGCCTTCCAGTTTATTGGCCTTCCACAGAACAATGGCCTCATGGGTAAAGGGGTAAGCAACATGCTTCAGTTTCGGTACTTTTCATAACATTGTTTACATTGAGCACACTGAGTGCAAGAGAATGCGACTCTGCTAGAACTGGTAACTCTTTGAGAATAACTGTTGGACTGCCCGGTTTGTTGAACCAAAATGGCAGGCAATGCCTTTAGTCAATCTAATGTTAATAGGGGTCACAGGAAGCCTTAGACACGTGTTTCCTCAATTAGTCTGTAATTACCATAAAGGTCACCATAGGTCAAATGTAGCTTGACTAATCCAGTGGGTGGGGAGAGCTTATGCCGTGTATTTTGTCCAAACCTAGGCAAAGCTGTGTTTTAAAACCTTATGCAGTACCTAACATTAAAATGCTTTAAAAAGTAATAAGTTCTCAAAATAATGTGGCATGTGTAATTTGAGTTAAATTAAATAAAACTGCCAGTATAAATAACAAAGGCTTTTAAACATAAGTTGTATTTTCCATAATTCCATCCATTTTGCAAACCACTTGTTCTGTGTTGCGGGGACATTCTAGTGTCTTTGGCTATAGGCAGGGAAACACCTTGGATGAATGGCCAGTGAAATATTTTATTTTATTTATTATTTTAATTCATAATTTTATCGGTTAGATATACCTCACATGTAGAGTAAATGTTGCTCAAACTATAGTGATCAGGATTGTGTGCCATTTAGAATTAAATTAAGAACTTTTAAATCCAATTAAATTACTGAATTTGAGTTTAATTTGAATTGGGGTAGTTGAAGTGGATGCAGAATTGCTATTTGAATTTAAGAAGAATTAAAATGAAGACATTTTCATTGGTTTATAATCCTTTAATACTAACAGGTAGTTTTTGAAATGCCACCTATCCACTTTATTTTTCCCATAAGAGTGGGCCATTTGTAAATGTTATGGGTCTGGCTTCCAGTGTCATCCGCGTCCAGCTATTTTTAGCTGTACAAACACCTTTTTCTTGCCGTAAAAATGGGCGCGGCCATTTGTAAATTCTATGGGTCTAGCTTCCGGTCTCATCTGCGTCCAGCTATTTTTAGCTGTACAAAACAGTTTGTTTTGCTACTCGATATTGAAAATTGGTGTGTCTTACCATATTATTTTAATGTAGGCCTATTATCTTAATAATGAACACACTGGTTTATAGTGCAAACAGTTTTACCGTTTACTGCACGTTGTTATTCTTCTTGTTCTAGTTTGTAGTGCATACAGTTTTACCGTTTACTGCACTTTGTTATTCTTCTCGTTAACTTGTTTCCCTACAGCGGCTAATGAACCGGAAATCTCGCAAATTCACTGAAAACGGCTTACTTCCGCATTAAAGAATAAGGTGGATAGAAATGTCTATTTAGTTTTTAAATTTATTATATTTAATAAATGTAAGATTTTTTTCTCTGCCAGGGTAGAAGAGCATTTAATTTCCCAATACCGTGGGAAATTTTTCTCCTACCGTGTTAAATTGTTGAATTTTCACTTTACTAAATTCAAATTCACACTCTGTACTTTTTTTGTTTTTTTGTTTTCTTTCCCTATTTTTCATTAACAAAAGGGCACAGTGGAAGAAATGTTCACTTATTTTTAGCTTTTTTTTTTTTTGCATTTGCATTTGCTTAGGTTTCTGGTGTGTCTGCCAGCTCAGAAAATCTGAAAAGAAAACACGCAGCCAGTTTGTTATGGGCTGTTGGAGTCTGAAACTGTCATCCAATGAGCTGTTTCAGCTTGCAGCCGGTATCTACGTAGATAGCTAGCTATTTGAAGAAGACCACTTCCGAGCCATATACGGAGTCCGAGGCAGCAATTCCCATGTCTTTTATTGACACGCCCCATGGAAGGGGTGGGGTGAGCAGTAGCTCATTATCATTTAAAGAGACATGCACCGAAACGGTACAACTATTGAGGAATTTTAACCTAAGTATGTTCCAGACATTTCATGAAGACCCTAAAGAATCATACCAACTTGTAGAAAATGGGCATCTGATGTCCCCTTTAACAAATCTGCCAGAATTTGAAATAAAGCTTTGTATATAATTTGACATGCTAAATTCTACTATTAACGTGTCATAAATGTGGCTGCATTCAGAACACCCACCCCATTTGCAAACACAGTTTATTTACACATGGGTGTTGGGTGTGCCATAGCCTACAGGGAATTGGAATTGTCATAAAAGAACTGTGTGTAGATGCCTCAGACCTCAAACACAGGCTATAACAAAGAGTACTCTCCTACTAGGAGCTCATAAAAACATGCTTTCCTTTCAGACCCAGGAAATTGGACTTGAGAAAGTAGATAAATGCCACTAGCATCATAGCTTGTTGAAGCTCTCAGCCATCCCATCATGGCATGAGTACAGACAAGAGTCTGTGTGTGATCTTGGCCACCTCCTGAAAACTCAGACCTCCTCTAAATGATGGAACATGTGCAGTGCACGTGGAGCAGCGCCCAGGCCCCTAAGGTTTGTGTAGGTAGGGGGGCAGCGCAGGAGGGAAGCTGTCCCATACGGTACTGATCAAGGTGGAATACATTTTGACAGCCTCCTCCTTTGAGCACGCCAGACACCCACCTGCTTAAGGCTGCATACACTGACACAATCTTAATGCTAATTGTGTGTGTGTGTGTGTGTGTGTGTGTGTGAATCAGACACCAGGCCACTGCAAGCTAATGATTTAGAATGGTTGACTCCTCCAGGGAGATGAGGAAGTGAAGGTCTGCCTCCTGAAATTGGTATGTCAGGGGTGGGGGTCTGTTTAAGCAAATTGTTAATCACACGCAGCTCAAGATGAGTTAACAACTGCTGAGCAGAACCAAGCCAGAACTCCTTCAGGCACAATGCCATCTCGACCTCGAGGAAGAGCTGGACCAGAGCAAAGCACAGACAGTGATGTTAAATAGATTCAGATATAGCACAGCAAGCATAGTTATTCATGCTTCATTTGTGGTTGTATGTGTGTGTGTATTTCTCTTATTTATTATGTTTAATTTTTTTTACATTTGTATCATGTTTTTTTATTAATGTAGTCAAATAATTTTTACATTATTACACCAAAGTCCTTTTGTGAGTGTGTGTATATAATCTACACACATATACATTTTTCTACACACATATCCAGTCAGTTAGTGCATTAATTAAGAAACCACTTTGATGGAGTTGTGAGATCAATTATTTTTGACTGATTTACTAAAAGAACTGTCTCACAAGAGCCATTTGTACATTAATGGTCAAAATGAATGTCTTTGCATGCTAAAGCTTAAAGCAAATACAGCATGTGTTTTGTGATGAGATTCTATTGTGTACACAGTCCATTCAATTCAGAATGCAAACTCACAATTTATAATTATATTAAAATATAATTTCTTTTGCTGCAACACTTCAGATTTGATAGCGATGCCAGAAATGTTGAATATAGTGCTTATGGCATGTTAGCACTTCATGCACTATTAAACAAGCAATAACTGTATTTTCTTGTCTGTTATCAAGTTTAACATATGATTTGCATCAATATTTGAATGTTATGATTCACAAAACAAGCACAAGACTTTGTATTGTGGTTTAGGTTAAGACTCTGTGGAGCAGAGCAGCTCAGTGGATGATTTTACTCTTTTCACCAGAGAACAGCTTGCATGTTAAGAACCTGATAGTAAAATATTAAAATGATGCTTTATTTTATAATCTGACAGTTTGATAGATGATCGACTTGTGCTTATTTCCATAGAACATTCCAACATTGGGCACCGTCGCCATAACATTGAGGAACGAGTCTCAACATTAACTGATTGTGCCAAATGTACCTCTATCGGAGGAGATGCCCCTCCTCTCCTGCCTGAATGTATTAACGGTGTAAATATCAAAGATTTTTACAGTGCATTTTAATGAACTGCTACAGCCCCTGGGGTTCTGCCTTCACACGTGATTCTCTGTCCAGGGCAATCAGTACATATCCTGCCCTAGTGTGAGGAAGGGCAGTGGCAGGTCTTTGATTCAGCCCTTTTTCTGAGCACAGGAGGCTCTTTATCTCCTGAATGTGAGCTTATTATGTTACGGCTTCTTTTGTCGAAGAAAGGAGCTCAATCTCGAAGTTATTTATTTTGGTCCACAGATTAAGGCCTTTGTTTTTTGAAAGCTCCCTTTCCAAAATGTATTATAAATACTCACCACAATTTGTTTTAGGTGGTAAACTGAGTACCTATTAGAGGTGCACCAATACCACTTTTTTCCAATCTAATTCTGATACCTGAATTGTTGTAACTTGCAAAATATACATGACGTCATTATAAAATGGGCAGAAGACAGAAAAACAAATACATATTCTGTGGTACTGTTCATAAATTTGGAATCATTTAATTTTTTGAAAGAATTAATCTTATAATTAATCTTATTCAGCAAGGATGCATTAATTTGATCAAAAGTGACAGTAAAGACTTTTACATTGTTACAATAATTCTATTCAAATTTCAAGTAAATACAAGAAAAAACATCCAGTGCATAAATCTAACACAAAGTAGCAGGAACCACAACATTTTTTTTAATCAACTTATACATCAAGGATGTATTAAATTGATCAAAACTGACAGTAAAGAATTTTACATTGTTAAATTGGTAATTCTGTTTCAAATAAATGCTGTTTAATATTTCATAATTCATTGTTTTACTGTCTTTTTAATGAAATAAGTGCATAAGAGGCAACTGTAAAAAAAAAAAACTGGGACATCTCAGACAAGGTTTTTACTGTTCATCTCACCATTTTTGTGATCTTAAATTTGATAAATTAAATACCTATCCTTTGTTGTAGTTTGGTAGTAACAACCATGGGTAACGCACAGTTTCTGATTTAGATGGTTCCTGTGTCATCCATATCTGATCTGACAAAAAATGTTTGTATCGATGCCGATATGATCCAAGAATGATGCATCTCTATTAACTATTCAGACAGCCCTCAAAATCAGCTGATGTTATGGTACACTGCCATCCTGAATTCTGTCTCTTTGCTTTCAAAAGGCAGCAGTTTGAGACCAATATACCAAGAAGGACTTTAAGTTATGAGTTTTTGTACTATTTTTTATTTTTTTGGCAGTGCAGGCCATTTAAGGAGTACTTGTTCCAGTGTGTTATAGTTTTTGAGCTGTGAGCTATCAGAGAAAAGCTGCAACATGGGCAGAGTCCTGGAAACATACCATTGCCCATTGCACTAACCATCAGTGCTCATCATATTAAACTACACAGCATAGTTGTTCACTACACCTGGTACTCTGCTCACTCATCAGGATCCCACAGCAGGGAGCAGTCATCATCCTGATGGACTGAAACAGTTCTTTGCCCTTGTAGAAAGGTGCATTTATACTGTGCATTATACTACAAATCAGCATAATTATAATGATTTGTTGGCATTAGAAGGACAAAAATACTATTGTTTCCGCCGTGGGAGGAGCTAAAGAGTGACGAGCACTTGGGCGCCGAATGCCAACAAAACAGAAATTTGAACTTACCGTCTGCAGTTCTGAATCATGACTTGAATGCATGAAACAGCATTGTACCCCCCCTTTAATGACTTAAATGTAGTTTGGTAGTAACAACCATGGGTAACGCACAGTTTCTGATTTAGATGGTTCCTGTGTAGAGGTGTAACGATTCACTTGTTTTCTCGATGCATCGACTACAAACCCTGACGATGCAATGCATCGATCTTGAAACATGGATTTTTGAATCGTGAATCGCCGATTTTGGACAGTAATCGATTTAAAATGCTAAGAATCAAATGAATCGTGATTTCTATAGCGATTCAATGCTTTCAAAATATATACACATTAAATTACTACAAGCACGAATGAATGGAGACCTTGAACAGTGTTCGTGCCCTCACATCTCTCCTTCACGCGCTCCACTATTTACCGCCTGTGACTGTCACAGGATTGCGCTCGCGCTCCGTTTGTCTCACGGACACATTTTTTGAGCAGCTGATGTGTGATCTCTCCTTACTACTCGTGGCCAGTAATGCTAAAGTGAAGTAGTTTTGCTTTTCTGTAGTTTTTAAATGGCTCTTGGTCATACCGACAACGACATTACCTGAGCAGTCGAAGGCTGCGCATTTATTGCATGGACGGCGCAAAAATGTCTAAACCATACGCACAGTTCCATTGAATGATAAAAGTGTTTTAACAATGTTGTTAAACCGAATGTACGAAGGAAACTGTTAAAATAACCACAGCATTAACAACAACCTT